GTGTTTGAGCAATTCTGCACATTCATGGGCATGCGCACTTGTCAGGTTCTCTACGCGCCTGGAGGGTCATAATCGGCGTTTCTACTTTGCAGACTATGGGGGCATAATCACTGCAAAGAAAACAGTGCTCCAATTCAGCCGCAACATGAACGATTTCCTGTATCAGTTTGAGGATCGAAAAGGAAAAGCCACCTGGATAAATGCACGATCAAGGCCAAGCATTCTATCCTTCAGCCCGGGAGCATGAAACGTATTCATATCCCGTCTGTTTCATGGAATTTTGAAGAAGGCTTGATTCGCCTCTACTACACAGCCCCATGTTCCAGCATTCTAAGTGGTCAGAGCGTGCTTCCTGATGTTAATCTTGGGCTGGTTTGTTTCTTCCTATTCCGAAAGGAGAACTGCAACAATCTATGAACGACGGTGTGTGATTTTTTCAGGCCCCTCGAATGCACGCCCGTGGTCCGCAGAACAGAAAATGATCTCCAGGGCAAAGCAAATTATAGTACAGTATCCGTTGCCTTGCGCTAGAATGGCTTTTGTGCATACTTGAAACAGTTATGTATATATATATATATCTACCAAAAGCTATAAATCGATCTATGTACTATACACATTACTACTTCATAATTACTAATCTATACAGTGGTTTTCCTTGATTGAACTTTATGTATATATGTGTGCTTTATTCAAGAAATGCACGGTACACCAGCTGCACGGTCCGTCTACTGCTCCAAGTGCCGGCATTCTAAGTGGTGAACGCTTCTGGCTGAAATTCATCGTACGCTGCTTGATACACTCGATTGAGAGTGTCATTATCGTTTAAAGCAGGGATTCAAGAGGCGTTGGTTTCTCAATTCTAGTTGGAAAGATTGCCGAAGATCCCTGAAATGGGGATGAATTCATATATATAATTTACTGTATATATATTTCAAAAGACCGCTGAAAACAGAAAGGCGTAAAGTTTGCACCATGCTTTCCTTTGCCACTATTTTGGTTGTTCCTATCACGGACTGGAGGATAGATGCATATCATATGTAAATATATGTGGATCAGGGGGTGTGGCCAGGCATTCTATGTCTTAACCCCAAAATCTAGGCTGCCGGGCATTCTATGTTTCATTTCAGCTTTTTGCCAGGCATTCTATCTTTCAGTCCGTCGCTATAGTATATACGTAGTAGTGTATATAGTGCGTATAATGTATATATGAATGAGCAAGATGGATTTCTGTCCACCGACTTCAGGAGCATCCATTGTCACTAGTGTCTATACAATGGTGTTGAAGTCGGAGCTTCCAAGAGAACCCTTGAACCTGTGCGGAGCGAAAAAGACCGCAGGAGCGGCAGCCCATCAGCTCGGTCTAGCAGTGCGGAGAATCTGTGAACGACCCAGTCGGTCCAGGCGTTGGATGTCAACGTTGCCCCATGGCCAAAGACCAAGCTTTTCACCACTGCGACCGGTTTCCATTCCAAAAGTATATAATCGAAAACAAAAGTTGATTGACAAACCTTTGAAAGAAAATCTTGGAACGCCTCCCGGTCAGGGCTCTGTTGGAAGTCACCACTTTGCCCCCGAACCCCCGAACATTGCCCATAAACACGCCAGTCTCCACAGCTTCTCGTGGCCTGGCAAAGAGAGCTCAATCGCACTGGGAAGATCCATCGTCAATGGGGGCTCGTCAGGCGCATGGGGAGAAGGGGGGAAGCTCTAGCAGTTCACAGCCCCAGCAATAAGGAGAAGGGGTTGGATGTCAGGCTCGGCAATCCAAGGAGCCAGAAACAATCGCCCTCAACACCCATGTCGTCGAAGCTTGCAGGGAAAAGGAGTTACACAATCTCTGACCGACCAACCGTTTCCCATGTACCGTAAACATGACGTTCAGGCCTCAGAAACCCCAAGTCATCTCGCTGCAACGGATAAATGGGCATCTGCAAGTGAAATGGGCGTCGCCACCGGTTCCAACCCAACTCCAAAGGTCTCCCAATCGACGACGACGATGGAAAAGCGGCGTTTCGTGCCCGCCGTTCGACTTGTCTCTTCAGAGGCCTCCTGTTTAGAGACCCAAATGCTTCTGCCACACAGCGGCACACGCCTTCAGGCCGTGCCCCCCACACTACAGGGTGCGGGTGGAGTAAATCCACCGATCGCACCAGGGTGGTTCAGGTGAAACGTTAACAGATTTATTGGACTGCTGGGAGCTTCACTCTTTCCAGTCTTCCGTGTGGATCATCCTCCCCACTGAGAACCCCTTCTATGGGTCTTCTCCATCTGGCCTCCTGGCGAACCCTCCGCCCCTTCGCAAGCGGAGCGAACCCGAGATCGTTGGAGACCGCAACGGCGACCGCAACGGCACCAATCCGGAAGAGTCATGTTGAATGAACCTTGAAGACCACTTGGCACTTGAGAAGACTGAGCACCTTGGGAGAGGGTAGGAGGTCTTCTTTTGCCTTGGGTGCTGGAGTTGGCATTCGGAGGTTGGGTGTCTGAATTCCTGAAAACCACCTTGAAGAGATCCATGGATCCCGGATCCGTCTTGGTCCTTGATCATGTTCATGAGGAAAGCCAGAGCATTACGCAAGATGGAAACCCAAAAAGGACCCAAATCAAACAGAGACACACACACACTCACACACCGAGAAGTGATTCCTGAATATTCTTGAAGCATTGCGCATGTGACCATCTGGTGGGTTTCCTATTTGGAGGCGTACTACAAGCTCAAGATGGGATTTGTACACCCCAAACCCACTGGCATGAACCATAGACTGTGCCCTGCTGAGCGCCACATCCTCTCCTTGCTGATTTTCGGTTGCTCGATGCCCCACTCGGACTCCACATGACACAGTGGCGCCAAAGTCTCGCTGTTGGTGCACTTCTCACTGTTCGTGAGCTGCCCCGCAGAGGGCCCGGAACGGTCGGAAAATTGCACCTGACGGACTCGAAGCATTGAAGCCGCGGCCCGAGTGTCATTATTTGTCTTCTTCTTTTTCTTCTTCTTCTTCTTCTTCTTCTTCTTCTTCTGTGAGGCTCAAAAGCCTTGCAGCTTTAGAGAAATTGTCCTCAACCATCCTGCTTCAAAGGGAGGGTCCTTTCATAACCCAAATGGGTCGGTCTGGGAGGGTCAACACAACGAAGATCTGAACTCAGTGCTCGCGGATCTGTCAGAAAAGATCAGCCTCGGGCCTTGAAGCGAACTTGCTCCTAGTAATTAGTAAGGCCAGGAGCCCCTAGTAGCGTCCTTGCTCCTAGTAGCGGCGCCTTCCTTTTAAAGCCGTTTGGGGTGCCTTCCCTGTTTCGTCCATCTTGGGTACAACAAGAAGCCATTCTCTCACCGAGAGACACATGACTGCTTCGCCCCCAAAGAAACGAAAAAGTGGAGCTCGGGTAAAAACGAAACGCGGCAAGTGGATTCCAACGGATTGGAACTCGTCGCCCGCAGATGTTGGAGATATTGATTTTTCTAGAGCCATTGAAAATGATTGCAAGCAAAACTGGGAACCAAAGATCTTCCCTGGGTCGTCAATGGCTTCCTCAAACCCACATGGGAAGCCGCTCTAGGTTCACCCTCTTCGTTCTAGAAAATAGGAAAAAGGATGAAAACACCAAAAACGGTTGGTCCTCCTTCTTAGAATTTTCTCTGTTGGGTCGCAGAAAACAGCACATCTGAGGCACGAAGTGCTGCATCAAATCATGGATCTGCGAGTCTATCAAGTTGAAACGCTGTTGGCTTTGCTTCAAGAGCTCTGCCTGTTGGTCCAGCCTCAGCAAGCCGAAGCGCCGGTTGTGAAACCCAACATGTCTGCCTTTAGGCTCCTTAGACCACTGAAAAGTGAGACTCACAGCAAAGAGTCGGTGTCAATCCCAAAAAAGACTGTAACGTTTAATGGAAACGTCACCATCAAAACAGGGGCCTTCACCCTCTGGCAACAAAAAGAAAGAAGACACCTGTTTGGATCATCTCATCTCATCATCGTTGCTTTGATCCTCTCAATCTCTCCATCATACCAAACACACAGCTCCGCGTGTGCTCGGCCCCCCCACGTCTTCCGCACCCATCCCCGCCCAAACCGCCCACCCCAACCGCCCGCCGCGTGGCACGCGGTCCACGTTGTATTTCACGAAGCGTGTGGCAGTCTTGGACTCGTGAATCCACCGGCTCAAGGGGCCAATGAACTCCTCCTGCCGAAGGGCGGTTGAACCCAACGAACGCTCCGGACCGGACCGGACCGGGTAAGGATCACCAGGGTTTGGATCATGACACCCGGAGCCGGGTGGGATGGCCCCAGAGTTTGGATGCGAATGGTTTGGTGCCAACTTCTCAACTCATGTTGAACAAGAATGATAGAATTGGAAGGGTTGGGTGACGCGTTGCTTCACCTTGGCTGGGCTGGGCGACGTTGGGCTACGAGCCAGCCAAGAATCGAAGCCAGTTTCAATGGGTCCCATCAGCTTCCGTTCAGTCTCCTCTACGATTTGAGCGGGCAAGTCATGAAGCGAGTCGTGAAGGAATGGCTGAGCACAGGAGCAGGGTCACAGGTTTGCACAGGCCGAGAAGTGACGGAGCCATGCCGAAATCGGATGGGACCAACATTTAGCAAGTGGCTTCGAAAGTGACCTACAGGGATTTTGGAGAAACTGGAAAGTCTTGGGCGGGTTCTCTTCGATTTCTTCACGTTCCAACCCGCCAGGGCGTCGGGACTCGTCGGACGGTCCGTTCTCAGGTCCGACGGGTTCGAAGGCCGGGCCAAAACCGGGCCAGGTCCGATTCGTGCGACGAGTCTGTAGGGAATGAGGGAATGAATCACCCCTGTAGATACCTCACCCAGTGGATCCCAGGCAGTTCCCACGTCTATAAGGAACCAGGGGCCCTCGTTCGGTCTATGGTTTGGTCGTCGAACTGGAACCACTGGGACTCCCAGCTAACTCGTGGGTGCCTGGATGCCCTGGATCAGGATCCAGTCACCGGAGTCACAGGAGTCGGACCAGGGTCCCGCCGCATGGATCCCTTCGCGGCGGGCTCCTTCTCGATGGATCCCGAATTGTCAGCATCGATCATGCCTCAGCCGCCGTGGATTTCTAGCGTCAAAGGGACTGGTCAAAGAGCAGAACTGTTCATGCCCCCCCCCGGGACTGGCCGACCAATCTGCAAGGGTACAAAAACCATTACTTTCGGAAAGGATCAAATACCGTCAAATACAGTACACTGATCTAAAAAAGCGGATCGTCTGCCTTTGGGGTGTGTAATGCTTGGCACTGACCTGAATGGCTTGGTCGGTCGCCCCGCTGAAAAGCGCCTCATAGCACCCACGGGCGATCCCAAAACCATCGGAGACCAACACCAGCTTCAGTATTCATTCGAGCTTGAACCGGTGTGGTTGACCAAGACCAACAAAGGGCGCAAGGGTTAAGCTCACATAGTGAAGCAGCTCGGTACCCAAGAACATCCTTATGCCTAGAGCCCATCTGACTCCTCTTTCCAAACGCAAGGGCCATATGTTTAGCTGGTTTGAATTCACAAAACAACTGGTTTCAAGTTAGAACAACTGCTGCCCAAGATCCCATGTCTCAACGTGCAAGGAACGATCGACTGCCTCGACTTCGATCGTGGGGGATCGATCGCCTGTCCAGGTTGTCACCCCCCAGTTTGGGTTTCTTCTTGGAGAGTTTCTTAGTTCTTCGTGTTCAGAGGTTTATCCAACCCGCAGAGCTGCTGGACAAGGGGCCGAAGAATTGTTCGAGATCATTCGCATCGATGTCCATCACTCGCAAGCGACTTTGAAATTCAGCATCCGTGGTGGCGCCCTTTACAAGATCTTCAAGTGTTAAATCTCCTGTGTTTTTCACATCCAGTCGATCAAAGATCAAGCCCAGATTCTTCTTGTTGGCTGTGTGTTCAAACTCCAGCTCTTGGGCTAAATTCAACACATCACTTTGTCTCCCCTCTGCAAAGCCATCGACGACCACAGCCACCACCATGTTCAAAACTCCAAACACCAGCGTCAACAGCGATCCACAGAAGACAATGCTGGTGGCGGGAGATCGCTCAATCACTGGCACGGCAATCTGACCCCAGCTATCACCGGCGATCACCGTCTTGAACAGCAACAGGTTCGCTCTCATCACCGAGGAAGCAGCTTGTCTGGCACAGCTACAGACGGAGGCTGTTGACAGTTCCAGTATGTTCCAGTGATTGTAGTGATGGTCAAAAAACATCAAAATATACGACATGAAGCGTTCAGGTGATTCACTATAGAAGCTGGGGATTAGCAATGTGAACTTGCTGAGCAACCAGCAAGTTTGGGTGGTGGTGACAGTGGTCCTGGTGGCGCATGTTGCTCCCCGAAGCGGTGTGACCCATCAATTGCTGGAGGGATCGGCTGCTCCCTCGGTCAACCGATCACCTGAGATCTCACCCGAGCAGGGCTCCTGTTCTATGAAAACTCTAGCTGCTCTAGCTCAGGGCTTTCCCAAAACTCTTAGCGTGTTCACACCCCCTCTCGGTCTGGTCTCTTGACCATCTCCAACCCAACGCAGCGAATCCAACCCAACACAGTGACCGGAACGCCTGCAGTCCTGGCAGCCTCCGAAATCATAACCCTCCTTGTCGTACAACTCCTTGAGGATCGGATGCACGAACTCGACCATCAGCATGCCCCACACCGTCATGAAGCCGAAGCAGAACACAAAGGACCAACCCAAAGCTTTCAGGCAAGTGGACCTCATCTCACCGGTTCTCCGGATCTAGCGGCTAGCGACACGACATGTCGTTGCAGTCAGACACACACAAAACAGTTTCGTGTCGCAGTTTCGTTGCGGTCTCATTCCGTTTTCGGTCCCGCTTTTGGAGACGACATGAAAAGGTCGCTTTCGTTCGCGAAACGGAGACTACCATGGTGTCCGAACCACGGGTCGGGCAAGACGCGGCCGGGTGGACGATCCGAACCCGGCAGAAGCAGCGAGGCCTCCACGGTGCGAGGGCCAGGCGACAATGGAGTTCGCAGCGAGTGATGCGAGTGTGTTTGACTGGCGCAAGAAGCGTCAACAGCGTCTTGATGCAAGATGCAGAAGCCAAGGACTTGATCCTACGCACGACTTGGTGCGTTGCGCGAGGAGTCGCGGCGAGCGACTTCTTCGGTTCGTCACTGCGCAGAGGTTCGACTCTTCGGCTTCGACTCTTCGCCCCTCGTTGTGGTCACCAAGAGTATAGACCAAGCAATTGACTTGCTTGACTTGGAGTGGGCGCCATGGACATTGGGTTTCATCTTGGAATAATGTGAGGCTTCATCGGAAATCCCTCACTGGGTGAGGGTGAGGCTTGGGATGGTCACGAAACAGTTTCTACCGTTGAACGACTTCTGTGACAAGGGTATCCTACAGTATGATGCGTGAAGAATTCTCATCCTTGCCTTGCACGGCTCTTCATCGACAACACCAATGGGAGACCGGACATGGAGCTTTGCAATATATATACCTTGAGTCAACTAGCTGCGTTTTTAGTTGAACTGACTGACGTGTTTTGCAGCTTTCTCTTTACCTTCCAGCGTTCCAGCCACTGTTTCACGCGAGGTTTACAGTTGCATGTGATTCCTGTTGAGAGGGTCACCTTCATTGCGCAGGCTTTTTCGATTCTAAAATGGGATATTCAGTGTGAAATGCTTTACCAAATGAAAACCGTCTGGCAACCTTACGGATGCTATTTTGATCCATTCTGTACCGACAAACCGCATGTACCCGAGTGAATGAACAAAAGGTACTCCCAAAGGTCACACAACTTGCGCAATCCTGCATTTCTTCATGTTCACTCTACTGTTTGTCCTTTTTGCGGTGTTGATTTTCATTATCGTCCTCGTGTGTTGCAGCACTGGGTTCACGGTGCGAAGACTTGCAGGGAGGCTTATGCAGGTAGTACCATAAATGAACACTCTGCAGAAATCGAAGCAGAGCTTATGCAACAAGACAAAGATGTCTTAAACGCAGCTCACGCTGCCGGGCACCATCCCTACAACTGGTGCGGTCCAATGCGGGAGCCTTAGTGCACCTCGCAGTACAGACGGTCGTTTGGCCAGGATCTCAGAAAAAAAGAACAGCTACCGTCTGCGTAGAAAATATACAACGGCATGCAATGAACCGAGGTAGCTGAAGGCAGAGCAGAGCACTAATGGCTCGATATTTGTTCAGTTGTTGCACAATGTGTACATCCAAATCTTCCACTGGTAGAGGGGGAGGTATTGTAAATTGTGTTCGTGCTGAAGCAACTCAACTGCTTTTGAAGGACATGGCCGAACAAGATGATAAGCTCGACAATCTAACTTACGGTGTTGACGAGTGTCCACTGCTTGACGCAAAGGACATCTGTCCTCAACTGTGATTTGAGTGCCTCTACTGTGAGTGCGCAGGTAATGTCGTAGACTAGGCCAGGGGCCAGGGGTAATATGACCTTCTTTCGCAATGACCTTGTGGAAGAGAGTAGGATCAGGTATACGGTATGCCCCTTTCGACGGCATGGCTGTGAGAAATCAACTGTGGACCGTCGTTTTGCTTTCGAGTCGTGAAGGCTTTCCGGGTGGGTCAAGTCACCGCTGAAAACGGTGCTCATCACTGCTCGTTTGGTGGCACGAGTACCTCCAACTACGAGACGGACGGCTCGAGCCCTGGCTGGTCCAGTGCGAGCACGGAGACAGCGTACCGGACAGTTGCGAGACAACGTACCGCGGGGGGGATCCGTCAGCAAGGGCGATCGGTCAAGGCAGGAAGCTCACCACGCGTTGGTCCTCCCAGAAAGCATGATCCCTTGGCAGACTCACAGTCTGGTTGCAATCGTTCGACGCACCAAATTCCACCCCCAGGTCTGTTTTTTCGCATGCCTCCTTATAGATGGTGGATTCCAATCCAAGCGACATCATGGAAATCAGCTTCTGCAGCTCCCTCAGTGAGGGCGTCTTCCGGATGATCCGCGCCACGCGCATAATCCGCACCACACGAAGAATCCGCATGGTGTTGAGCCAGTCCCAAGCGTCCAAGACCTTCACGGCGGTGGTCACAAAGCCACACAGGACAGTGAAGAGGTCAAAAAGCACCGCCTCGCGCACGGTGTTTTCTGGTTGCACATAAAAAGAAAATCTAAAGAATCATGGCAACTGCATAAATGTTGTCCAAGAAGGCACCGCAAGAGTCCAAGGGGTTGTCCTTTGGGTCTTTTCCGCAGACCAGTTTTGGGTCGAAACCGGGTCCCTGAAGGGGAACAAGAACGTGGAGTTTGTGTGAAGGTGTTCTACGAGGGTAGATGACACTATAACCCCAGCACTTTATATTTGGGAATCCATATAGACCTCCTTTTGGGACTGTGCCATCTACTCTGAAACCACTGTAGGATGTTCTGGGGATGTTGGCAAGCCCAAGGATCGTTCTCCTGAAAGCATCCGAGTAAACATGCATGAAATGGTGGTCACGACTCAAGACCCAATAGCTTGTATGGCCACGGATCATCCCGGTCATCCCCACAAAAGCCACAGATTCGGCTTGCGGCTTGCAACTGTCTCAAACATGGGGCAGCCTGCAGCCATACTCTCCCATACCCATACAAATTGAAAATCAGAAAAATATACAGTAGATGGTCTTTTATATATTATATATATATATATATATTGAATATCGGAGTCTCATGTTGCGGAGAACTGCTGGCAAGAAAAATGTCCTCTTTGCTTTCCTAGCACCTTTGTAGGAGGAACGGCTTCTATAACCCGGCATGGAACTGTCAGTCACGCCCGCCTTATCTTGCAAGGCCTGCCATTTCCTGCGCCGCAAGGCCAACCCTTGTCTTGTTCGTCAGGGGCCGGCCATGTATGAGGTACAGCCAGCATTCTACCTTGCCCCCGCAAAGAGCTCCACGGACAGCGGCATTTTTGGGGTTGATGGATCTCCTTCCATCAGAGTCAAACTTGGCCCTTGGCCGACCGCCAGTGGTCTTCATGGGTCGTACATGTTCCACCCCTAACACCCCCAGGTCCCAACCACCAAGCACCCACCCTTCCCACGGATATCCCCCGTCCGTCCTCAACCAAAGCACCAGCGCCAGCTCGACGGTGTACACCGCCAGGCACGCCTCCGAGATCACGAAGGACCACATGGGCGCCGAGGCTTCGGGCCCCACCGCGCGCGCGTCGATGTCCACCACCGTCATGACGAAATCCACCAAGATGAGAAAGGCCATGAAGTTCGTGGTCATGTCGCGCTGCAAGAGTCGTTGCACCTGCAGTCGAGTCGTGTCGGTCATGGTCGGTCCGGAAAATAAGTAAACTAAATCAAGCGCGCGGAGCGCGAGCTCCGCTCGATGCGCTGAATGGGAACCCAGCAAAAGATTTATTATTAATTAATGTTTGAACCTTTGTCTATGTCCCCCAAGCCTGCAACAGATTGAACGCATTGTACTTCTAGCTGTAGGGAAGTCAATCTCAGGAAGAGAAATCGTCTCGTCTGGAAGTTCATGTAACCAACATACCCACTCCACCGAATTGAACCACCCACCCGAGCCCAAAATCCGGCCCACGAACCAATAAACCCCAAATTCGGCCGTCGTCCCACGACTTGAAACTGGCAGCTTTTCACAAAACCACACCTGCGAGCGGCAACCGGTGAGCTCGCCCAGCTCCTGTGTCTTGGAAGTGGAGATTTTGTGAAAGGTGGCGTTCAAGGCAACCCCTCGCGGCGACGTGCCGCTGTCGGCCGTGCCCAGCGAGTTCCTGGACGCCGCCGACGACACGGCCAGGCTGCGGTCGCTCCGCTCGCTCCTCACGGCGAGAAAGGGGGGGAAAAAGGGAAAGAGCAAGTCTACCGAACTGGGTTGGGATCTCGTTTGGGATGTGATCTGTGAAAAGATCTGTGGAACATGGGTCTCGACACTGCATCGGGAGATAGATGGGATACGTCTCGGTCTTCAGTGTCTGACGTGCCCACAAGGAAACTGAGCTTTCTCTTCTTCATACCAAATAGTTTTCGCACTCAGTTGAGACCTGTCCAAACATATCAAGATACCCTTCAATGACAGAACAAAGCCAGAATACAGAACAAAGCCAGGCGTCTGTACATCTTTGTGCCTCAACACAACCGTCCTGCCTTCTGATTAAAAAAATTACACCAGCATAGACCCAGATAGCTAGGCAGAGTCCCACGACCTGTTGACATGCGACTGGCTGGAACAAGAGTGTACGCAGCGCGCACAATCAGCTGACACCAGCAGCGGTGCACTTTGCCAGCTGACAACACCGGCAGCGGCACCAGCACCCGACCAGCGCCGCCGCCCGTCTTAAACGCGCGCTCAGCCAGCTCACAGCACCAGCACCCAGGACCACAACACCAGCACCAGCACCGACACCCTTTCGAAAGCGCGCGCTCATTCTTATTTGCAGCAAGAAACCCATAACAACGTATGATTTTGCGCGTGTAAGTTTATGCGCACAAAAGTATGCGCGCAAACAGTAAAGCCCGTAAGTGTCATTGGCCCAAGGCCAAGCAGTATCCAGCGCCACTATTGACTTTGTAGCATGCTTGAAGCAACGATCTGCAGAACGATAAGGCCGTATGATCTTGCACGTATAAGTTTATGCGCACAAAAGTATGCGCACAAACGGCAAAGCCCGTAGGCTTCACTCGCCCAAGGCCAAGCAGTATCCATGACTATTCGGTTGAGAGCCTGATGTTGTGCATAGAACATTCTACGTATTAAAAGTATGCGCGCAAACAGTACAGCCCTTGACACAACTATCGACCAAAACAAAACCTGAAGAGCGTAAATACTCCACAGCGCTAATAGGCAAAGAACGCTCAAGCGACGACACCGTATGATGTTGCGTGCATAAGTTCATGCGGCCCCTGAATGCTGGCACTTTATTGTCAGAAGCGGCGCTTGGTCGCCCTTCACTGCTGCAAGCGGCAGTTCGTTACCCTTCACTGTTAGAAGCGGCGGTTGTTATCACTTCACTGTCAGAAGCGGGCACCAGCACCGAGCGCCGGCACGCCAGCTCACGGCGCCCAGCACCAACACCAGCACCCAGTCCAGCACCAGCACCCAGCGCCCACCACCCTGTCTCCACCACGCGCGCAGCAGTCTTCACCACGCGCACTGCCAGCTCACACCACCGGCACCGGCGCCCGCTGTCTCCACCACGCACACTGCCAGCGCCCAGCACCGGCACCGTGTCTCCACCACGCGCACAGCCAGCTCACAGCACCCAGCACCAGCACCACAGCAAGCACCAGCACCCGGCACCGGCCCTGTCTCGAAAGCGCGCACAGCCAGCTCATTGTCGTTTGAAATAATAAGAGCCCCATCGCTGTCACTATCTGGCGAACAAAATCCTCTCCACCAGGCACGCAGCCAACACCCAGCACCGGCACCCGGCACCGGCACCCGGCACCCTGCCTCCACCACACGCGCACATGCAGCCAGCACCAGCACCGGCACCCTGTCTCCACCACGTGCGCAGCCAGCTCACAGCACCAGCACCGGCACCGGCACTCGGCACCCAGCACCGGCACCCTGTCTCCACCAGCTCACAGCACCAGCACCAGCACCGGCAGCCTGTCTCCACCACGTGCACAGCCAGCACCCGGCACCGGCACCGTGTCTCCACTCACAGCACCAGCACCAGCACCGGCACCCAGCACCCAGCACCAGCAACCTGTCTCCACCACGTGCACAGCCAGCTCAAAGCACCAGCACCAGCACCGGCACCCAGCACCCAGCACCAGCAACCTGTCTCCACCGCGTGCGCAGCCAGCTCACAGCACCAGCACCAGCACCGTCACCCAGCACCAGCAACCTGTCTCGAAAGCGCGCACGGGCAACTCATTGTTATTTGAAGTAAGAACCCCATAGCTTCGCTATCTGGGGAAAAATAGTATTGGCCTTTGAACTGCAGCGTTGTTCGCAGGCAGCCTACATAATTACAAAACAAGAGAGGTCAAGTGACCTATGGGACCCTAAACCTGGACTACCTATGGGATAGTCTATAGGGTTCTTCAACCTTTTTTGGAAAATGCCGATGAAAGGGATGCAAATTGACAGAATACACACACACGCCAGTTTTTGTCGAGAGAAGGGGCAGGTAAAGGAATCAGTGGCCATCCAATGACTGACGTGGCCCGTGGTTATGAGGACCAGCAAGCTTTTCGGTAGAGCTGCCAAATCAAATGATGGTTCTGACAAATGACTGCCCCCCATGCTTTAAACTTCTCCCAGCCCAGCTCCAATTCATCTCTTTGATTCTCTTGCGCCACAATTGGGGGGATGGCTTTCATGCGCTGATCCGTCACGCTCGGTTGGTCTTCAAGGCCTTCAGGTACCTTCGTTTCAAGGGGACCGCCCATGCAGGTAGACAAGTAGACGCAAAGCAGCCTGACCACTGGAGAAGAAAGACACAGTTTTGCCCAGTTTGCATGTTGGTTTGGGAGAGACACCTTTCCAACACCCTGCGAAATCTGGGAGATCAGAACCATTCCATGACTTACACAACACGGAGCCTTGCGGCAAAAGTCCCGCAAGCTACTTCCACGTGATCTGATGTTTCGCTGAAAGCAACCATACCATGTTATGCCACTCAGAGTTGCAATGGGGAGCGAATGAAGGATGGGAGAAAAAGAACCAAACGCCCGAAAGCCACTGCTGTGCGTTTTTCAACGGACCGCCTTTCTTCGTTGGGTTTCTCTCAGGGTGGTTTCAGACCCCTTCAGTCAGATCTCTCTTGGGGGGGTGCGCCCCAACTCAGAACTCTCGTAGAGATGGTTCATGGACCTGGTGAGCTGGAGTTTGCGATGGAGAAGTAGTTTTTATCTCCGGAAAAAGAGCGAACTCTTCATCTGGACCTTGTGAGCTTGGAAGAAAGTGGCAAGGGAAAAAGAGAACTCAATTCTTTGAGACTTCCCAATGCTGAGTAAACTAAATGACTGGATGGAGTGGCAGGTGAAATACCTCAACATGGGATGCTTGTAATATCTGATATCTTGCAACACGGCAAAGTAAAGTGGTGCAAGGTGGGCCCAAGTGCATTCCAAGTCATACAGCTCAGGCAGCTCTTCTCAAAGACCATTTACCATGAAGGAAGGATTTAGCGGAAAAGTGTAGTGTGGCAAGAGGATTCCTGCCCTAATCTGCATGGCTGCCACTTGGCATACTAGGTCGAGAAGAGCTAGTTTTTGTTTTGAATCAGGGATCTTAGATAGAAAATCGTCCACAACATGACGCCAAAACTGGGATTGCCTACCCCTTTTAGCAAGCTTAACGACTGGCATGAACGAAGCAAGAGGCTCCTTGTGGGGCCACTGTCCATGGCCAAGACCGGGCTCGACAGCGTCGCAGGATCCATCAGGCAACGTTGCGGGGCGGGGGCCAGCGCGATCGAGCCATCACTTTTTGAGGCCCGTGCGTAGATGAGTTTGCCCACCAAAGATTGGAAGGGCAATCCTACCAGTCCAAGGTAAGATCCCCAGAAACCCATCCAAGAAAATGGTGTCCCATCAGTTCTTTTATCACTCTTCTCAAGGTCATCCAGCTGGCCAAACCCAAAAAAAAGAGAACCGCTCGGCTCGCGTCGCCGGTCCATCCCGGAAACAGCGCCCATTGGATCGCGCTCCACTCGACTTCGGTTTGGAATCAAAGGTCCGCTGACCTCGTGCTACGTTCTGTTAGCTTATTGTTTCTACTAGCTTCTTGTTACTACTAGTATGGCACTTGTTACTACTAGCGTGGCACTTGTTACTAGTAGTAACAAGAAGCTTGATTCTACTTCCCTACTGCTTCTTGTACCACTAGGACAAGGACCATCATCATGACCAGTAACAAGAACAACCACTATTGTGGCGACAACAACGACCGCGCACAACAACGGCAGTAAAGCAAATGATGCTGGTGAGGGCATTCTAGTGTTATTCACGCTTGGATCGCTTGAAAAGGAATGCTTTTGCCTTGCAGGTGGAGATATTGTTCATTGACTCAAAACTTGCGCGTCTGGTTCGCTTGGTTCTTGTTCTTCTTCTTCTTCTTCTTCTTCTTCTTCTTCTTCTTCGATCACTTTCACACCCCGCTGACCCAGTGAAGACGATCCTCTAAGGCCACCTTCATGGTGGTTTTACAAACTTCAAGCATCTTCAAGCTCAGACAGTGGATAAGAACCGTGGCATGGGCATTCTTGACGCCACGGGTGACAGATACAAGGTAATCTCCAAAACGATCGCAACAAAAAGCTTGTGATGATACACAAATTACATGCCAGGAAGGATAGCGATTTCGTCTCAAATCTTGAGAATGTATATATATATATATATATCTACTAGAGCCACCCCCTTGTGCAGTCCCAAGCCTGCAGGTACACCTTGGCCGTCTGCTTTGGATAGCCTCAAGCCACAGCGAAGATGAAGGACTGAGCGAAGCGAAGCCGGGTTTCGATCTAAGGTCATCAGCCGCTGAAACGCCAAGAAACGCCGACACTGGGGTTGCGATGTGGAAGCTCCGAGCAGGCAGAGGTCTTGGGATAAATGCCTTTGAAACATGGGAACCTTTATAACTCTGATATTATAACTCTGACAGAATCTCACCTCACTCACCTGCATTTCTCTGACGAGTGTAGCTGCGGATCACAAAGCCCAACCCAGGCTACCGGGCTACCTGAGCATCAAAAGCACCAAGAACATTAAAGCCCTGCCTTGCCCAAATAGGACACGTCAAAACGTAAGCGCTGCCTATGAGTTCACCCGTCTTCTTCCCGTCTTCTCATGGTTCTGGATGGCCAGTCCCCCGGTTGAATCACAGCCATGACATGACCAGACCAACCCGACCATGCCATATCATGATGTAACGCACACCTGGATCCCTGGAGCCCGACCAGGAAGGGGCCCATTCCGATCCCCTACTCAAATTTTGCCAAAACCATCCGAAGCGTGGCAAGTGCTAAGCAAATACCTTTTGGAATGGTTCTACCTTTGACATTGAGGCGTCGGAAACCACAAGCCGGCTGGCCCAACCACCATCCATTTGCGGCTGGTGGTGGGCCTTCGTGAACCACGCTTGGCCTGCGGTGGGTCAGAAATCAAGGAGTTGGGGAATGGTGCCCACACTTCAAGGTTGTAACAAAACCATACAAAACTCTACAAAACAACAGGTGACACCTGTGCCAGCAACAGGTTTAGGTCGTGCGGCGCCTCAAAAGAGGTTGGCAGGTTTTGGTCTTCTCCTTCATCAACCCTTTTTGGGAAACTTGCAAGCAAGATCTTGACCGCCAGCGCCTCCGTCTCCTTGCCCTTGTGGCTAGGTTCTGAGGGAGTTGACCTCTGCTGCGGAGCTTCTCCGGAGGTCCGAGTGGATGGTTCTTGGATGATTTGGATCAAGACCCACGAGCCTAGTATGCTTCTTTCCCAAAAGCTTGCACTTGCATGCATTTGCTGCCTGAATTTAGTTTCTTGATGCTGAACATCAATGATTGGAGAAGACATGTGGAGCCCAAACACTGACAAAAAGAACACTTTTCCTCGAGGGCCCGCGTTCAGGGCTCAATGGGATCCATGTATTCCTGTCATCAACCTCCAGCAAAGCCAGTGGAAAAGCAACCACTGACCAAAGGTGGATGAAGAAATCAAACACTTCCACGTCAAGAGTTGAAAATAGTCTAAGCACATTAGAGAAGAAAAGAACGCTTCCTTCAGATCTGTGGGTTTGATGTTTGGTTTCAGGGACATGGCAAACCCTCTGCCCTCTGCCATGTCATCTGCACAGGTCTTTTCCTAACCCCAACCTGGAACTCCTGGTGAAAGAGCCCTTCCCTCATCCAGCACCGGTCCATACATATACACCAGCCCATGCACGTGTGCCTAGTCACACCTGGAAAGAGAGGGACCTGGTCCTTCCACTCATTGCTTCCCGGGCACTCGATTGCGGGGATGCTCCCCAAATGTCTCTCTGCAGGCTTCACCACGTCATGATCCACCTGCAAGAGTGGCGGTCATGCCAAACACAGCAAATGACAAGAAGGTAAAGAAGATGTATAGGGAAATCTATTGTCGTTCTTCAATATCTATCGAAAAGCAATGAAGTGGTCGTTCTGCCTCCCCCTCCCGAAGAACAAGAAATTTCATGACCTACAGCAATCCCTCCCTCTCTTCCCCCAGGGGTTCGATTGTGATTTGGCAATGTTTTCCATTGGATGTTTTTCCGGTAGTGTTTTAGAAGAGGGAGGGAGAGGGACAAGGTAAGGGAAGCCTCTGTGAGGGTTGCATTGGGTTTCACTCTTTTAGGGTTTCTTACAAAACTCAGGCGGTGGCCAATCATCAACGACAACTGCTCAAGGAATATGTCTGCATTTTCTGTCTGTCCGTATACATGGATGGATGGATGGAAGGACGGACGGACCGACGGACGGACTGAACTGGAAGGAGGCAGAAAGGGAGGGATGGAGGTATGCCACGTTGGAATGACTCCTTCTCGTCTAAATTTTACCTTCGGACAGTTCTCGTCCAAAATGTTGCCCTCGGAATGGCTCACAAGAGGCACGGTACGCTGGAATGGCTTCTTCTTCTTCCTTCTCTAAATTTTCCCTTTGGCAGGGGTCACAAAAGGTATATGCTACATTGCTATATTGAGAAGGCTTTTCCTTGTCTAAATGTTAGCCTCGGATTTTGGATTCCGTCCTGGACGGACACGAGAAGTAAACACCACTCAGACTATCACGAGAGAAAAGAGTCACACAAAAGACGGACTACGACCAAGTAAGACATGATTAGGATCATTTTGGCACACAAACACGCATCCCCAAGGTCTTTTGCTTTTGGCAAAGCGTCCACTCAGCCAAAATAGAGAAGCTGGGAGGGGTGGCAGGAAATCGGAATGGTTGCAGACTTTGTGGTGCGGAAGGGGGGTTGGGGGGGAGGGCGCAGCTGAAAGAAGCACGAAAAGAAGAAAAGTCCTTCCGAAACCGGCTCGCAAAAGGCATGCTACATGGAGAAGATGGCTCCCTCCACTCCTGAATCGGCATCCCTCGGCTAATGTTCTTTCGTCCAAAAAGAAACACGATCTCAGAACTCTGTGGGAAAACTTCCCCATGTCACACCCTAATCCCAAAACCCTCCGTCTTTATCGCCCAACTCTGCTACATCTGTCGACGCCACTCGGCTCTTCGCCTGCAGCGAGGCCGGCTGTGTGATGACCTCCTCGGAGCAGCGGCCGAAGTCACGCAGCGGCCTTGGAAGAGAAGGGATCGGAAGAGATCCATCCACAACCGCCTTGGGTGGAGCAAGAAAGCCCTGAAAAACAGGTCGCAAGCCCAAGATAGAATTCTCTTCATGCTGTTCAATTGCTTCTTGCAGGCAAGAAAGTTGAAGCCACATCAATCCCAGGTCACCACAGGAGTCTTCCTCAGAAGAAGACAAGTCAAAATCCAGTGGATCAGTAAGGGGTTGAGGAAGAACTGCTATACTTGGAGCCCGGTCCATTTTTTGCTGTCATTGATTAGTGACCCCAATAGATCGACGATCGAAGAGCCCAGCCCGATGATTTCATGTCCAGGACGATTTCGGTCGTTGTCAGTTAGCCCCGTTGTTCGCCCCGTGGGGAGGTTTGGGGGGGTGCCGTGAGATGGATTGGATTGAGAAGAGTCCTCGAAACTGGGTGTTTCAACTTCACTTTATATGTGGTTCCTGTGCCAAGAGTGTGCTTCTGAGAGCCATCTATCTCTGGTTTCACTACTTCTAGTCCCGCAAGTCCAAAAGCCCTTTAGGTGCACGTTGTCCTTCACAGAGCGTTTTCAAAAGGCCCAGTTTGAAACCACATCCAAACGTCGTCCAGCCGACCCCGAACCGCAGCACAGCCTCATCTCCTAAAGCTCTGAAGCCTTTGCAGAACCCTTTTTTTGACATCAATTCTCAATTCCTCTCAATTCCTCACCAACAACGACCACTTCCAGCTCCGGTCCGCTCCCGACTCCGCGAGGGGGGGGCGCCTCGTGGTCTCGCGCGGCCTCCAGCTCCGCCGATCCCGGGCCTGAAGCCGTGGGTTTCGAGGGTCTTCTTTCAATTTCACCCAAAAACGCCTGGTCTGTTCGGACAAACTGTCACCCAGTCACCTGACGGACCAAGTTAGGACAGGGAGGTTAGGAGTGAGCCCAAGACCTCTTTCTGCGATCAAACCCAAGCGCAAGCTCTGAAAGCTGTGCGATGTTCGCAGTGCACTCTGCCGAAAGCGGCCTTCACCGCTAGGCATCAGGGTTCATCCAGTGACCGCCTCCGTGCATTTTCTTTGGCAAGGAAACGGGATAATTCGGCATCGTATTCAAGTGATTGACAGTCAGACTGACTCATTCGTCTGCCTTGATTGCTGGAATTCTTCAGCGCTTGAAATTCCTGGTGAATGGCACGCATCTCATCAGCGTTGATGTAGTGGAAGGTGAGGGGCAGGGGCTCACGTGCTCGAATCGCGTTCAGGTAGCCCTCATTCAGCAAGCCTTTCTGACGCTTCCCATCAATGCGCCAACCATAAAGCCCTTTGATGGGCAAAAGAGAAACACCATGTCTTCGAAGCGTACAGCTCACAGAAATATCTGCCCAAGACTGTCCGTTCTTCTCTCTGGCAATATTGGCCATCAAATCCCTCTGAAATTCGCTCATGTTTGGCTGCATCAAACTTTCCAATGCTGCCCAAGTCATAGCAAAGCCGCCGCCCCCACAGTAGCCACCCTGCTTGTTGCAGAAGTGCATACCACACCCCGGAATACCCACAGAAATCAGCTTGGACGCATCAAATCCCGACAACACGTTGTGCACATGCCGCACACTCAAATAGAAGTCGTCATCCACCATGAACAGCCACGAGAAGTTCCCACGAGTCCTTAGCTGGATGCAAACAGCTGACGAAAAAGTACCACCTGGAGCCCTGTTAAGAGCCTTAGTTTCTACAAGAGTTGCTTTCTTGCAAGATTCCTGGGGCCGCCAAACCATGAAAAAAATCTGACATGCGCTAAATCTTTCGCAAACTAGACCCCAAAAAAAAAATCCTGCTTTGCTCCAAAATTTGAGATGCTCATAGGCCCGCTGGAGAGCGATCCCAGCTTTACAAACCAGTTGGTCGTTGTGATCGTTCCCACATGGAGGGCTCGCAGAAATCACCGGCGGATTCTTGGACTCTTTGTCCCCGACGGCCAGTAGGGCATCATGCTCAGAGCTCAGGACGTCTCGCACCCAGGTGCTCATAGCGCCGGCCACCTTCGTGGCGTAGTTCTTCTTGTGGGTGAGCATCACATACCTAGCACAAACAGGACAGGTGTTTTCCAAAGATGTTTCTTCAACCTTGCCCTCCTCATCTCTTCGTGACGTTCGGCAGAAAAACGACCTGAAAGGTCGGTGGACAGCCCAGTTGCAGAACACCGAAGTCGCCAGCACTTGGGCTGATCGTGGCGCTGACCGTGGCGCTCGGGCTCGGACTCAACGCCGGTGACGCCGCCGGCCCACCGGCTTTGGCTCCGGAGCCGGAGCGCCAGTAGACGTTGAGGATCTGGGAGTCCAGGCCGTCCAAGGCCAACGCCTGCCGGATGGTCCCAGCAACGCGCGAGGCAGCCGACACGACGAGGCGTCGTGACGGTGGAAGGAAACCGATGGTGGGAAAGCTGAATCAGCTCCAAAGGTCAGGTCTTTCCACTTCGACGTTGAAACGCTCTGCGAAAAGAGTCAGAGTCTGAAACGCTCTGCGAAAAAACGACGGCGACACATCCACCAGCGGATCGCTACACAGCCTGAAAGATACTGACCAGAACCAAGGTGAAACAACAGAGGCATCGGCGCAAGGTCTGCGAGTGAGGCCGCAAGGTCTGCGGCCTTGGCTCGATGCCGTGGTTTCGGTCCTTCCCAGGTGCCCTTGATGTAGGCACACCCCCATTATCCGAGGGGGGTCACAAATTTCACTCCGCATCTGATGTTCCACCAAAAAAGAGACCGAGCCAACGCCGCGGCCACGCCCGAAACCCGAAACAACTCGTCTGGCACCACTTTGGGATAAATCAAAACTGGAGAAAATGCAGGAGTCCGAGGTCACAGGGACGGTCAACGCCCTTTCCAACGCGTTGCCGAGAGGCTCGTTCTTTGGCTGGGGGCTTTCTTCGGCTCGTTCCACATCGGCTTCCGTTAGGAGGTAGCGCTGGCCTCTCATGCAGTCGAGCGGACTGTGTGTGCATCCTGGAGCCAAAAGGTCGAGAGGCCGATTCGGCCGATTCGGCCGGACGGACCACGCATGATTCGATCTGGGATCATCTGCAAGCCTGTGGAAGACACTGGTTCCACCAAGTGCTCCAGTTCAGCTTCCAGGTCCAGTGAGGCCGTCATTTCGCCACTTCCAAGCGAGAGAACACGGAGATCCACCGACTTGGATAGAGGCTCTGAGAATTCCTTTCAAACCACTGACTCTGGGGACTTGCTTCCACGTGGGGTCCCCAGGCGGAGAAACGCTTGCCCACCCAAGAAAAAGGGTGCTAGGGTCGCTCTCCTAAGGACCTGCTGCTTGGTGTGCTTTCTCTCTTCACAAAACAAGACCTACCCCGAGTCAAACACCAGAAGTTCACATGGACCTGACACTGGACACATGGACCTGACATAAGATCATGTTCCTCCGTAAAATGGTGGTTTACCTTTTACCTGTTGCTCGCCCCGCTCCAATATCCCGCACATCAACTACGTACCAACGGGCTGGCTCCAATGGTGCACCGGGGCAAGGGTCAAACATGGCATGGGCCACTTAGATGCCCAATCATGAACAGCTTCTCCAAGAAGGTTTGGCTTCAAAGTGGATTTGATGTTCTTTGGGAGCATCTCACGTGGTTGTTGGAACCCTGTTAGAGTTGAAAATGCCGCGACTAGCACTAGTTGTCCACGTGTTGCCCATGTGGGGGAACACATGAGCTGGTGCTTCCCTCCCTCCCTCCCTCCCTCAGACTGGCGATTTGGAACTTGCCAGACGCGCCTTCACCTTCACCCGGTGGATTCCCAGCAGATGCTGGTATTTGAAGAGCTCCCTCAGAAAAGGGAAGCAACTTTCCAGGCATCAAAATGCAGCTTTGAGGGTCTTGGTGCGGAACCGAGTCCGTTCGGACCCACCTCCTTGGACTGGTTCTTTCCAACAAGCCAGTGTCGGGGACCTGAGAAGCCAACCTCTCGATCTCGGTGAGGTCCTGGGCGCAGACCGCCAGGCGGTGCGTACTTTGGCAGGATGCTTCGAAAGAAAGGGGTCAAACAAAGCTGCATGGCGATGATCCAACAGTTGTCCCATGTTGTCCCTTTGAGAGGCACTGTTTGCCATGTTTGGCTTGAAAGCACTGCGTGAAAGCGCGCCGCAAGCCAACGCGCAGCGCACTGTTTGCCACGTTCTTCTGCCTTCGAACCCTGACACCTGTATCCACGGACCGAATCCCTCACGGCCAGTCTGACTTCAGCAGGACAGAATCTCTCCTTCTCCTCCACGTTTTGCCAGGACTCATTGAACTTCTGCCATCTCAAGGGCGACGGAACATCTCGGCAACGGATGCCAGTGCCAAGCACGTGTCACCCTGTGTCCTTCTTCACTGGGCGCCATCAGCAGGTCGCCATTCCCTCAAACCACGCACCTCAAGTCTTCTTCCTGGCAGGTCTCATAGTTCAGCCGTCGTGCGCCATCGCCGCGCACCACCCGGTAGCGCGGCGCTGCGCCGTCGCGGTCAGGCGTCCCCAGCCGAGCCTTGACGTAGCCGTGGTCGGGCGTCCGGCGCCCCACGAAGGGATCGCCGTCCGGACCGAAGAGGCAGAAGTCATACTCATCGCCATCCGCCAAGCATCCTCCCACGGGTGAACGGCGTGCCGTCTCAGGTCGTCGAGTCCGAACGACATCGATTCCTGCCTACATGGGCTTCTGCAAATGCCTGTCCCGGGACCCCCAAAAAAGGAGCAGAATCGAGACCTCACCCACATGGAGCTTCTCCATACGATTGCCACTTCTCTGACGCCACGTGTTCTGGCCGTGTTCTGCCCATCACCCACCTCGCCCACCTCACCTCAGCCCTCGCTCCCACTCCTCGGATCCGAACGCATGCGCTCTCACCCGAGCTCACCGCCGTCACGGCCGCCACGGCGCGGCCGCGCTGGTCGGGCGCGCGCGGGTCGCTGTAGGTGGTATCACAGTGGAGGAAGCTCACCTCATCCGATCCGACGGGACGCATGGGCGGGCGCATGGGCGGGCGCATCTGGGGCGACATCACACGGCGTCTTCTTTTGTTCTTCGTTTGGGTGGGTTGAGCTCCTTCATCGCACTCGTATCAGTGCATCATGCTCAAGATCCGTAATCCGATGTAATTCCATGCTGGTCCTTTCCGACCGTGGGTCTACCCTGCACTCCTTTCCCCTGCAAGCTGGCCCACCTTCTCTCCTCGCACCACGAACGGCGAATCTCCACAAGGCTTGTGCCCACAAAAGACTGCCCTCACTCCATCGGATGCCAAGAACTCTTCCACCTCTGGGTGCAAAGTCGTCGGCATTCCTCCCTCCAGCAATGATTCCACCACGACGGAGCGCCGGAAACAGGCAGGAGTGCTGGTCAACACCAGTAAGGCCTGCAGGAGCCAGGAACACGAAAACACCAAGACATGCTTCCAAATATATAATGGTACATAGATAGAAGTCGTTCCCAGGACACTTGGTTTGAGGCACTGATCTCTCAATCACTATGAGACTAAAATTGATCAAAGGGAACAAAAAGAAGCTGACTGAAGTCTCTAACCTCATAGAATCAACCCTAGGCTTCATCCCTCCGCGATGATCTGGTCTGCAACTTGCAGCAGAAAAGCATAGAAAAGTGCTCTACTGTCTCTTTCTTTACAAGGACCCCCTCCTTCCCCGTCCCCGCCTCGCCGCCGCGCGCGCGGGTCTCGGAGTGGCAAAAGAGCGGCTGCGCGCGATGGCTTTGCAAGCCTTCGTGAAGGAAGCGGTTCATCGCCTCGACCCAGTCGATGAGGCGGTCCGATGCGAGGCTGCTTCCGCCCGGCTCGGCCCCGGGCTCGGGCGCCACGTAGCGCATGTCATGCGAGGGGATCCAACGCAGCGCGTCCTTCGGGATGCCTGCGCTCAAAGAAGGCTTTGCTTGGGAGACCACCTCATCTGGAGACGAATCTTTGATCACTGAAACGACAAAAACACCTTGTCCCAGTCGTCAATCTGCTCCTCATCTGTGACTAGCCTTGACCACCCAATCAGCCCTGCCACAAAGGCTAGTAAGGAACCACTGGCCAACCAAACATTGAAACATCCCCAGAATCGGAACCATGCAAAAGCACTTGGTAATAATTCACAAAACTTTTTGAGCAACTTGACCCTGCCTCCATGCACGAACAGCCACGGGCCCACCAGCACCAGTAGGCAGCTCTCCCGCAAGTACTCCCAAACAACCCCCTCCTGCCAGGGTTCGGCATAACCCCTGCCTCACTGACTAGACGATTGAAATCCTTTTGAAGATGGTATTTCCTACTTTCGGCAGGGCCTTTTCAGTACTCTTGCAAGATTGCAAAAACACAAGTTGGATTTCTCTCTCTCTCTCTCTCTAACCCAGAGATAGAAACTGCCCCACCTCCTCCACCGACTTGAGAAAGCTCTGGACCACCGCTTCCTCGTCCACGGCTTCCTCATCCACTCCGGCCAGCAATGCGAGTTCCCGACGACGAGACTCGAAGGCTCCACCTGGCCAAAACGGCCATGGCAAGCGGTGCCCCCAACAACCTCAACCACCTCTGCGAACGCTTTGGAGTCATGACAACGATGTCTTGGCATCACTTTGTTGTCCTGGTGGGTCCACACAGGACCAGTGACAAGGACTTAGAATAGGAAGCTTTGGCATACAAATGGTGCTCATCGAAAGAAAAGGGATCTTGGTTGGAAGAAACACACATTCTGTGTGCCCAAGCACGAAACAATAGCCCTTTAATCATGTTGCTGAAAGGTTGTTCTCAACACCCTTTTGTCATATCTGATGAGCGCCTAGCCCAACGTTCAGTTCATCCCCTGTCTGTGTCATGGCGAAGCTCAGCACCACATCCGAGAAATCCGCACCTGCGGTCATGGTATGGTCCAAGATCCAGCGCAGTCGGTTAGCCCGGGTGTTCACTTCAGCCAAGGATCTTACACCCTGGCGCTTGGCGCTTGGCGCGTGGCAAAGACCAAAGGTGGTGTCAGTGTCAAATCACCCGAGTTCGAGCTCAAATATGTAGAAAAGCCTTTCCAAAGGACCCCAAATTTGACCGTGCTGTCTGACCGTTAGAAAACAGGTGACGCATGGGGGGTCCCGCCATGTTAAAATGACCGCAAAGAGAACCAGATGCGTGGGCCTCTTCTTGCTGCTTCTTCTCCAGGAATGACCGCAAAGAGACCTGCGGTGGAGCTCGAGGATAGACCGGCACCGGCTGCGGCACGTCGATCTCCTCCTCCTGCAGAGCTGAACTTTTCGGCCCCAATCTGCAGCACGTTTCGGTGAAAATTGTAAACAGGAGTTGGGTGTGACTCAAATTGATCCAAATTGGCAGTTCTTGGGAAAGACTAAACAGGTTTTGAGGTACAGCCACAGGTGACAGCCAGCTCGGCTGTGAGCCGCAGCTTGTTGATGTCTCGATTGCCTGCTAGCAGCCACACGCGTTCGGGGTGCCGGCGCTTGAAGGCCAGGAGCTGCTGTGCGATTCGGAGGTCACCTCACAGGGAAGTTTTGGTCGGTCCCCTTCGGTTGATGGAAGAAATCCAGCGCCCATCAACAAAGGGTGGAGGAAAACCATTGGAAAAGCCCACTCACTAGAGATCTCCGGTGTTGTGTGGCACGAAACATGACAGCATCAGCTGCGGACAAGGCTCCCTGAAGTCTCCCAGTTTGTTGATGTACCTGGTCACTCCCCACTCGATGTCAATGTTCCCTAACTTATGAGTCACCCTGTCTCTTTCATAAATCCTGCCTGTGCCTTTATCAAAAACATCACCCCCGAACACGAAGCCATCTTTCTCAGGATCGTTGATGAAAGCTAGTTCCCCGTCAGAATCCCAGCCGACCACATCGCTCAAGGCCACTGATGCTTGCCAGTACTCATAATTCCCCTCGCAATCCGTGATAAAACCAATCTTCCCGCACACAGCGGGGGCATCGCTTTCCATCTT